GCACGTGCGTGTGTTTGTGTGTGCATGTAATAAAAGAAAGCATTGTTTCCCTGAGGGAAGATTTACTTTAATGAAAAACATCATTTTTTACTCTTCAAGGCTCCCTCTGACATCCTTACTTTCCTCTCAGAAACTAGTTTTACAATTAGTTGGAATGGAATACCTTGATAAATTAATACTAAGTAAAGTGGTTGTTTTCACGAATGCTCGCCTAAAAATCAAGTTTTGTAAAATTATTAAAAAAAACAAACAATCTAGCTGTTCTAATAATATGTTATGGCACTTCTGCTACCTATAATTAGACGAAGAGCCCTAACTTTTGGCTAAAAATGATGTTCTTAAAGAGAATTAGTCATAGATATCCATGCCAGTGATTGATGATGATGACGTATCTATACGCTCAGCCACGACCATGGCAGTAACGACTTAGCTTTTCTTTTTCAGAGCTTCGGCTCTTTCTCGATATTGTCCAAAGCTCATCAGTACGTATCTTGTAGTGAACGCTTTGTTGCTATGGCGTCATCACTCATTTTTTCCCCCTCAGATACTTTGTTCCTGAGGAAGCCTTATTGGCGAAACGTTGAACATCCAGGCCTATACGAACATCTGATTAAACGATACCAACCCTATTCAAGTCTCAAGTATATTTTTTTCTACTTTAAAACATGATGTGCTGAGACTTTTACTTTTGGGTTTCCCTTTCTTTGTGCTGTTGCACTTGATTGTACATCTACCCCCCCCCCCCCTACTTTTCCAAATTTAATTTGTTCCAGTTCAGCGTGAGCTTTAAACATTACGTGTGATCAATTTTAACGTATCTAGATCTATACGCTCAGCCAGGACCATGGCAGTAACGACTTAGCTTTTCTTTTTCAGAGCTTCGGCTCTTTCCGATATTGTCCATATCGCACCAATACTTAAGTTGTAGTGAACGCTTTGTTGTTATGGCGTCATTACTCATTTTTTTCTCAGATATACTATGTTCCTGATGAAGCCTTATTGGCGAAACGTTGAACATACAGGCCTATACGAACATCTGATTAAACGACACCAACAGCAGGAGGAAGAGGAGAAAGAGGAAGAAAAAGATGAACAAAATTATGAACAAAAGAAAGAAGTGAAAGATGGGGAAGAGGAGGAGGAGAGGAGGATGATGAAGAGGAGGAGACGAAGATGGGAGGCTCGCCAATTACCTGATAAGACACGTCATTATCCATGAAGCCAACGATGAACTCCTTTCCACTGTTGCTCCTGGCTGTTGAAAAACAAAACAAAACAGTCTTCGGTAGTGAAGAGAATGGATTAAGGTTTCCTATATGGTTTATGTCTCGGCTTTCATGCGTTCTAAGAAAACCCTGAGGTTGAATTTGTCTATTTTGTGGAGATCGCAGTGCGTGAATGCTGACATAGTATTATTATAGAGTAGTACAACTAATAATTATTGTTTGGAAACT